ATCGAAGACATGGTTTCACTCGGCACTACATAAAATTTAATTGTCACTGTCACACCAAACTTCACAAACGTAGCCTTCGCTGTCACGATTCCTAAAACATTCACTTTGGCGCCATTTATGCCCTCAAAACTGTCATCCGCGCTACACTTCTCCCACTCCACGCCAGTTGGCGCTGCGTCTGTCGTTAGCATCGATATAGGCGATCCCGTGTCTACGATACTGTCAAACTCATGAGTGCCAACCTTCGTGCGCACTCTATACGCCGGGATGTGACTTATTAAATGCGTCTTCGTGGTACTATCTGCTTCTCTGCTTGTAGATGCCTTTGGCGCATAATCTGTCGAAGCCTTTTGAGAACTCTCTGTGGATGCTCTTTGCGGACAGTCCCGCAGCAAATGTCCCAACTTCCCACACAAATAGCATGCACCTTTTTGCCTCCTAGGCTTCGAGCATCCTATCGCCCTGTGGCCGCTTTCACCGCAATTAAAACATTCTGTAACCTTCGGTATTACTACAGAAGGCGGTGGTTTCCAGCTCATATTCTGCGAAATGCCCCGTTCATATGGTGTTATTTCGTTCATTACCCTCAACACTGCCGATGTACTTTTAAATTCGCGCATTTTTGCCTGCGCTTGCAATGTCGCGTTATCGAACCCTTCGATCAAATACGCTATCATGTCCGTTTCTTCAATAGCAATTTTGTTACCTAGCGCCATTTTTTCTTGGTAATATGTACTAAATGGCTCATTTCTTCTCCATTTCCGGGCTTCGAATCTTCTCATTAATGTTAATCTGTCCTCACGACACTGGAAAACTTCACACATGCTGCTTTTCAACTCTTCGTATGATAGCCTGACATTATCCGCAGAAGAATTGTACCAAGCCTTTGCTGGTCCAGTCAATCGTGATACCAATAACAACGCCAATTTTCTCTTTGGTATATCGCATACCTCCGAGATCGCGCTTAATCTCCTAAACCATGATTCTACATCATCCTCCCTATCACCACTGAACTCGGGAATCATAGCTAAAATCTCCTGATTGCCCATCATGTCATGCACGTTCAACACGGTAACCTGTGGTTGAGCCGCCATTTCCGCTCGCGTGTTATCACCGGTATGGGCCATGTTGTATCTAATCTTATTAAATCTTCGTAATCACTTAATTATTTTTCTTAAAACACTAACACACGCACTCACAATTGCACATTCAGTCTACACCACGTGTTTTTCACTGGCCGGTAAAAAATTTGCTTCAATTATCGATTACCTGATTTACAATCTCTCTCAGATTCCTAATCTCTCTGATTTCCAGTCTCTCGCTAGACTCCTAATCCTCAGATTTCCAATCTCTCAGATTCCTAATCAGCGCTCACAATAATTACAAACTCACTTTTCCTCTATATATGGGTATGCCACTTCTGAACTTTAAGCTTGTAACGTCCTCTTGAATATCCTGAAATACTTATTAAAACACAACTAACTCTTCAATACTAGGTATATTCACTACTCGTTACAGAACTCTTATTACTCTTACTTAACCAAACTCAACTTATCTCAATCAATCCTGAATCCATACTGTCACTTCCTACTCTTAATCATCCTTACAAAACCACACATACATCCTGCCGGTTATTACGGGATCGGACATTCTCTCAAGACCCAGAGCCATCTATCCAACCAACCCGCACTACCAGCCGTTACATTCAAACTAATAAAATATAATCTTACAATATATATATATATATATATATATATATATATATATATATACATATATATATGTTGAAGCTTTTCTTATAGTTTTTACATTTGACAGCATACTTAGTTCCCTGTTTTCTACTTTAAAACCTAAATCGCCGTCTGACAGTCATCGATACCGTTTATAAAATTAATTGTTTAGACCAGGCATCGGCAACCTACGGCACGCGTGCCAGGCTTGGCACGCGACGGCGTTCTGCATGGCACTCTACAAAATAATCAGGGCAATCGCAAATATATCGAGACGAAGTGATTTTTAAATAAGAAAAAATGTTGAAATATAATTCCTTATCTAATGTAGCTCGCTAATGTAATTCAATCTACATTGAAGCACTTAAAGATGAATTTTCCAGATGCAAAGACTTTAAAGCTTATGTGCCTAAATTTTCCTTCCTCATAAAACCAGATTTCATAGATCCATCAATAATACCGTTTGATTTTTCAATTTTTGAGTGGATGAATGTTGATGATTTTGAAATGGAAATTATGGAACTAATATCTTTAGAATTATGGAAAACAAAATTTAAGGAATTACGAAAAAACCAGGAAGACGCCTCCATGGAAAATTAAATTGTTGGATGACATTGTCGGAAATATTTAATTGTTTAAAGAAAATTGCATGCGTTATCCTTTCACCTTTTGGTTCCACATATCAATTTTACACCCATTGTAGTATTTTTACACCCATTGTAGTATTGTTTACAAACATTGTAGTAATTTTACACCCATTGTAGTATTGTTTACAAACATTGTAGTAATTTTACACCCATTGTAGTATTGTTTACAAACATTGTAGTAATTTTACACCCATTGTAGTATTTTTACACCCATTGTAGTAAATTTACACCCATTGTAATATTGTTTACAAACATTGTAGTAATTTTACTCCCATTGTAGTAATTTTACACCCATTGTAGTATTTTTACACCCATTGTAGTAATTTTACACCCATTGTAGTAATTTTACACCCATTGTAGTATTGTTTACAAACATTGTAGTAATTTTACTCCCATTGTAGTATTTTTGCAAACATTGTAGTAATTTTACACCCATTGTAGTATTTTTACACCCATTGTAGTAATTTTACACCCATTATAGTATTGTTTACAATCATTGTAGTAATTTTACTCCCATTGTAGCATTTTTGCAAACATTGTAGTAATTTTACACCCATTGTAGTATTTTTACACCCATTGTAGTAATTTTACACCCATTGTAGTAATTTTACACCCATTGTAGTAATTTTACACCCATTGTAGTATTTTTACAAACATTGTAGTAATTTTACTCCCATTGTAGTATTTTTGCAAACATTGTAGTAATTTTACACCCATTGTAGTATTGTTTACAAACATTGTAGTAATTTTACTCCCATTGTAGTATTTTTGCAAACATTGTAGTAATTTTACACCCATTGTAGTATTTTTACACCCATTGTAGTAATTTTACACCCATTGTAGTAATTTTACACCCATTGCAGTAATTTTACACCCATTGTAGTATTGTTTACAAACATTGTAGTAATTTTACTCCCATTGTAGTATTTTTGCAAACATTGTAGTAATTTTACACCCATTGTAGTATTTTTACACCCATTGTAGTAATTTTACACCCATTGTAGTATTGTTTACAAACATTGTAGTAATTTTACTCCCATTGTAGTATTTTTGCAAACATTGTAGTAATTTTACACCCATTGTAGTATTTTTACACCCGTAGTAGTATTGTTTACAAACATTGTAGTAATTTTACACCCATTGTAGTATTTTTATAAACATTGTAGTATTTTTACACTCATTGGACTTATGTACATCAAATTATCAGATATTTTATAGAGATTTTAATACTGTGTACATATTTTGTGTAATTTTTTTTGGGTTCAGTACCATGATTTTTAATTTCAGTATGGGAAGTTCTAGCAATTTGAATTAAGGCACGATGCCATGCACCCCACTAGTTAATAAAAATGTTTAAAAGATAAATTTGGTTATAATTCTTCTCCCCCAGAACCTGGTTATATATTTCAGAATTCAGGCGGCACCCTGAATCATATTGGTAGAGTGGCTCGGCACACCACAGTTAAAAGCTTGCCGACCCCTGGTTTAGACTGTGTGACAGTTTCTGCCAATCTATGGAACCGATATAAATATCCTCGTTAATGACGAAACCAAACTGGTCTTTGCCCGTGTGTGGTTCAATCTTATTCTCGAGTGGTCTCGTAAGTATTTGGACCAGATTTTTTTCTGTGTGCGAAGTCAAAATGATTGTTCTGTGGTCGCTGCACTTGTTTGCTTTGCGTCTTTTCTGAACAATCATCGTGACATTCAAGAAGTTCTTTGGCTATTCGCCCGTTCGGTATATTTAGTTCAGCAGTTCGGTCGGTTTTCTTAACCCGTTTTTGCCCAGATCTTTCAGCAGGTCCGCCGGTATGTCGTCATACCCTGTGGCTTTTCTCCTTCTCATGTTCTTTATTGCTTATTTCTCAAAATTCGACCTTATTTTTCAATATGTACGGTCCTTTGTCGCCTTCGCCTACCTCTTTCTCTTCTTCGATCTCAATATTGTCAGGACGATATTCTTTATCGTATAATTTTTCTAGGTATTTCTCCAGAGCTGAGATTTTTTTGTGGTCTGTCATTCTATTTCCATTGTCGTGTTTCTGCTTTCCCTTTTAGTCCAGTTCATCTTCTTTGTAGCCTGAAACACTAAATCGTATGTACCTTGTTTTTGATATTCCAGCCTTCGGCCTCTCCCTTTCCCTCCCGTCCCAATTGATCAATTTTTCATACATTCCCAAATCTGTATTCTTGGCGCTCATCCATTTTCTTTATCATCTTCTGGGTTATCCCAGAGTACTCAAGATACTTTTTCTAGCTTTCCTACGTTCTCTTCCAGCGTTTTCCTTCACTCTGTCCGTGCCTCTTTACCTCGCTCAGTCCCACGACATCCACTCTGCACTTGTTCACTTCCCTCTTGCACATCGAAGTGTATGACTAACAATTTTCAAAACAACCAAATGACTACTATTATGCATATGCATTTGAAAAGAGGAGCAAGTTCTCATATTTGATATGTTTTTTTATAGAGGGATTATAGATTTCTAAAATGAAATCGATTTTTTTGGAAGAATATCACAGATCTAATATAAAGTTATAGTATTTATTTTTAATACCATATTTTATATTATACATATCTACTATTGTTCTCAATATAAAATGATATATTTTTTTTTGAAGGGAGCACTAAAGATATAGGATCAGCGCTTACCCGAATATGTTTAAGGCATCGAGCTGTTGAAGCAAGGGTCAAAACATTCACAAAGTGAGTAATGTTGTTGATATAAACGGTTATAATATAGTTACATATTATGTAATTGGCTAAACAGAAAATATTGTTGAATAATTTATGTATAGTGCCATCATGGATAGCCTAGTGATACCACTTCAGGAGAAATTGGAAGATTGGAAGAAAGGAGTTATTAATCTTGAAAAAGAGCATTTGAAAGGTATGTTGCATGCAATGCATTTTCGTTGGTTTATCAAGCCTTTCATGAAATTTTATGACCATTGTCACAACATTTATGGATTGAAGTGATGTTTATAGAATTGATATTTTTATGATAAACAAATATTTAATTTAGAAAATAATTTTCGTTTTGTTTCTATGGATTTCGTACTAAGATTTATAATGTTTAAAGTTTACTTCAACGGTGTGGATGAACTGACTTGAACCGATTTTGAACATTTTCACTATATTTCATTTTTTTTTAAAAGTCTATTTTTTTTCAAAAATTTCCTTTTTTTTCAAAAATTTCAGGAAAATTTTAAACTTCTAGCAATTTGCCTTGGGCACGATGCGATGCACTACTAATTCAAAACGATATTGAGAAATATCATTTGTAATAATTTGGCAAGTTCTATTATATGATTATTTTTTAGAATTTAAGCGTGGCCGATCTGATTTAAAAAAATATTCGACCGATACTTTACGGATACAGAGAAAAGCAAAGAAAGGAAATAATAACGAACTCCAAGGTCGAGTAGAAAGCTGCTTACAGGTTTGTTAATATTAACCTCACCCTTAACGAACGAATGCAGTCATTCTCGCGACACTGCAAATATTCTAAAAAAACGCAGCATAACATGACAAGAAGAATTTTGTTTTTTTTTGTATAGTTTTCAATATGAGCATAGAATGTGCACATTGCCGTTAGAAACTAAATTTGAATATTGGTCAACAAGCAATATTAGCAGTATTCCATTACATTTAAATTCAATAAAGCGATATTAATTGTGCATCTTCTCGTGATCTAGAAATGATGCACTTAAGAATTCATCACCTATTGGTCATAATTTTAGAAAATGCGCTCGTTCGTTAAAGGTTAAGAGCCATTTCAATAAAAATACTTAAATTCTATATGTGAAACTTTACTGCTAATTTTATAAGGATGTAACGGAGTGCAAGCTGTCATTGGCAGAAGTTGAACGACGTGCTGTACGTGCAGCCATGACAGAAGAGCGGGCTCGATTCTGTCAGTTTTATGAACTTTTAGAACCTGTTGTGCAACAAGAAATGGCCGTATTGGGTGAACTTTCACATTTACAGGATGCCACTGATCAATTGCGAAGACTTACTTTAAATCCAAGAGATCTTCCTCCAAGTAGTGAACAGGTATTTACTTACAATCATATCTGGATCTATTATATATATAGTAATAATCTATAGTATGTATATGTTACCATTGAGCATGTAAATAATCCGTTCTCAATATGTTTATTGATAAAGTGTAACATTATAATTAATACAATAAAATGTATGATGTGTGATATAACCTGAAGATATTTAGCTACTGAGCCTTTAGACCAATTTCTAAATACTGAATAGTAGGGCTCGAGGCTTATTGTAGGAGGGTAAATATTAACAGACGTTTTTCATTAGTGTCTTGAACGATATTCAGATATTTCTTTACTTGGTCGGATATGTAAACCCCCACGCAACATGCTGTAATAGCTACTGTCCCGCTGGTCGCGGGTATATACGCGGTATACACAAAAAGTGTACAAGTGAGTCATTTTTATAGGCAGTATAAAATTGAACTATCTAATCTAACTATTGAAATTTTGGTTTGCGTTATTATTATCAAGTAATTTTCAATTTTATATATCTTCCTGTAGTGATATTTGTATGTAGTCACTTTTTATCTATTTTTTGGCGTGATTTTGATATTTTGATATTATGACAAAACCCCCATCAGCTGTGATATGACAACGCGACAAATTAATTTAATAATTATAATATTCGACCTTTGTAGTACCACAAAGACTATATCTCAATGAAATTAAAAAAAAACATTATAATAGATTAAGGTAATATATATCAATATACTAAAATCCAAATTAACAATTTTATAAAAATTACAATATTATTAAAAATAACAATGTTAAAATAATTTTGATAAATTCTTTTTTAAATTATATTAGTGATATTATTAATGATATGTAATTAATAATTTAACTAATATGGAATATAATTAATAAGAAAAATCATACAAAAGAATGATCTAAATGCATTCTAAATAGTTCATCTGCATTTTGTATCGCGTGTACAAATTTCATCAAGATTATATTTTTAACTTCCCGTAGGGTAAGTTATTGTAATGGGCCGAAAATCGGAATTGAAAATTTTTACATTTCTCGACGTTTTGAAGGTTTCTGAACGTTTTGGCATACTTCAGAAAAAATGGAGTGTGTGTGTGTGTGTGTGTGTGTGTGTATGTATGTATGGATACAAATTTTCGTCCACGTTTTCGGGCGTACGGATCAACCGATTTGAATGGTTTAAAAAACATTCGATTCCTATTGATAGGGAAAAGAGCTGATTAGTTTTTGGCGAAGGCAGGTCCAGCCGTTTCGGAGATACGGAGCAAAGAGTGCAGAAAATAAAAATCGAGTTTTTGAGTGAACGGAGCATCCGATTTGAATGATCTAAAAAACATTCAATTAGTAATGATTGGGAGAAGGGGTTATTAGTTTTTCGCAAAGGCAGGCCCGGCCATTTCGGAGATACAGAGCTAAATGTACAAAAAATGGCAGTTTTTGAGAGAACTAAGCGTCCGATTCAATTGATTCAAAGAACTTTCTGCTTGTCTTAACAAAATAATTGATTTTGGAAAAAAAAATTTTTGTTCCATTTTTTTTTTTTTTTTTTAATTTTTTTTTGTATATCGAAAATAATTCAGATTTTATTTTTAATTCTGACTATAGTTCTAATATTCTTTACAAATAATTTCAACTTTGCAACTTTCACTTTATATAATTCTTATAAATATTAGACAATGTTACAATATTTATAATAATCTATTTGAAAACATTCAATATTCCTCGAACATTTCGTTACGGTACGGGAAGTTCAAGCAATTTGCCTTAAGGCACGATGCCACCCACCCCACTAGTTATTATTTTTTTCTGTTCCCAATATTTCATATTCGATATATTTTTTTCACTTTACTTTTTTATAGAAATCAGAAATACAATAATATTTTCTATGAGTTAAACTGTATAATAGAAAAATAAGTATGTATTATCTAAGATGATCCAGTAATATATCGTTAGTTTACGCATGGCCCTGTCTTTTTCAGTCTTCTATTGTTATGCGGTAGTAGAATGTCTTCAACTATTGGGTTTATATGGGTCTCTAATTATCAGGTTATTGCATATTGTGAAGTTTGTGACATACCACGATGCGTTTAGATTTGATCTTAGTATTTTAGTTTGATCTTTTTCTATTATTGCAATATTTGATTTTGATGCAGTAGCCCATAACTTTACGCCATACATCGAATTTTATTTTATTATACTCTTGTACATACTTGGTTCTCTACATACAATTTAGAGTTTCGGTATGTTAGCCAATACAATTCCTTTATTTTCTATGAATTTTCATCCTTTTTTTTATTAATATGATGTTTCCATGTTAATTTATTATATTATCGAGATGCAAAACCAAATATTTTACGATTTTGGGACTAGTTTATTGTTTAAATATGGGCATGTACTGCGACGTAAAGTAAACGTTACATGTACAATTTTATCTTTATTAATATTTATCTTCTATTTTTTCAGCTATTATTGTAGTGTATTTAAATATCTTTGAGTTTGTTCTAATGCTTTAAAGGCGTGGCCAGTAACCTGATCTGATAATAGCATTGAAGATAAATGTTATAAGTAATGTTATTTTACTTGGTAATTCTTTCAGAATTTTATATATGTATCTTGCTGACTTTTTAGGGTTGAGGATCTGGATTTGATGATAAACTTCTTTTGGTTTGATACGTTTTATTGGTTGCAAAAGTCCTATTTGATCCAACCTATCTTTAATTTCTTGATTTGGAGCATTATCGAATGTCTGGAATATGCACTCATAGTGCAGTAAACGGAGAGGAAAAAAGGGTATAACCTCTGAATTTTTTTACTTTGCTCCGAATTGCATGAAATTTTGGAATTGGGTTCATCTTACCCTCAAGTTGAAAAGTGAAAACAATTCGGGTTGCGCCATCACCCCCCGGGGGGGTTGCGACCCCTTAATAAATAAGTGGACATTGAGCCGTTTTATCGCTAGCAAACGTTTTAATATTAAAGGATATAATTGAAAAATATTTTTTAATACATTTACCTTGCAGTAAAATCATTTTCAATCCTGTGAAAACACTAAAACCCTTCAAACAACCTCTTAATTGAAAAAAAAAACACTTAAAAATAAATTTTGGTATGATACAAGAATTACGTATAAAGTTATTTCCCCTTATCATTTTCTGAACTATTGATTTAATTATTAATTTATTCATAACATAGCTCAATGATATCAAAATTAATTATTCCTCAATAGGTTGTGGTCGACACCAAGTTTAGGTCATCACCTAGTTCTCCGCAATCTTTAGGCTCCCGTAAAGGATCCGCGTGTTCCATAAGCTCCCTCAATTCAAATTCATCCAGTAGTGGTTTATCGCCGGGACTCTCTCCTGGACAAAATCTTTGGCAACGAAATTCACCTCAGGTACTTATATATATATATATATATATATATATATATATATATATATATATATATGTATATGATAAAATGATAAAATTGTTCTTGGGCATCCATCCAGTAATTAAAAACAGTTTTATTGAAAGAAAATGTTTTTATTCAGAAGACATACGTTTCGGGTCTTGATTTGACCCATCTTCAGTGCTACAATTAAATATTTCAGGGTTACAATTTAAAACAATATAAAAAATACATAATTACAGACAAAAATAAATAAAAACATGTAAAAAAACATAAATCTAACCAATTTAATAATATTTTTATAACAAATATATATTATGAAAGTATATATGAAAAACAAACATAGAATAAACAAATGTAAAGAAACTCACCATACAAATAAATTTGAAAAAAAAACACAAAAACACACGGAATTGCACGAAAAAATTATGAAACAACAAATTGATAAAACGTCGAGTTATGATAAATTTTAAATAATTGTAAAATTCAAATAAATAATATATTTTATTATAAAAAAGCTTATTCCAAGCGAACATGTTGTCAGCTTGGAGTATGTGTTATATGTAAAATGTGTGCGTACGTGTTTGCGGAAAATTGTGGAAACTGTATCGTCATTGGATGTCATCTGATCACTCATATTTGATAATAACACTGGGCTTCACTTGCGCAGTGAGTTTTTCTGAGACTTTTTTTACATAACTCGAGGACAAATTGGGAACGTTACAGAAATAGTATTTCTGAAAGATTGGATTTGAAGATTCGCTTGAAATTACCGAACGACATTGATGATTCCCTAAATCATCTAATACATGTACTACCGGACGCTGCAAAACTTTCAACACCGCCATTAAAACCGAAGGACGATAAACAAAAACCAGGCAAAAATCCAGAATTACCAGATTCATACAGACCAATAAGTCTTCTGTTCACCATTTCCAAGCTATTTGAAAAAATCATTTTGTCAGATATCACAAATAAATATGAGATATTTCCTACACATCAGTTCGGATTTCGCCTAATGCACTCAACGATCCAGCAGTGCCACCGTGTGGTCGACAAATTCTACAAATCGTTTGAGAAAGGAAATTACTGCACCGCAGCTTTTCTTGATATGTGCCAAGCGTTTGACAGAGTCTGGCATCAGGGTCTCCTAATTAAAATCAACAAAATTATGCCTGATTATTACGAATTCTTCAAACCCTATTTGTCGGACAGAACTTTTCAGACGAAAGTAGGCAAACAGGTATCGACATTTCGCAAAGTTGAAGCCGGGGTGCCCCAGGTGCTCTGGGGCCTATTTTGTATATCTTTTATACTCATGATATTACAACTTGCAACGACATCCTTACAGGAACATTTGCTGACGACACTGTTATAATGGCTGCTGACTCTAATCCTATTGTAGCCAGCAAGATACTCCAAGAGCATCTAGACTCAATTGAACTTTGGTCCAAAAAATGGAGAGTAAAAATTAATGAAAGCAAGTCGTGCCATATAACCTTCATGCTGAAAAAGGGTAAATGCCCTCCTGTCAGCATGAATAACAAGGCTATACCTGAGGTCTCCAACATCAAATACCTCGGTATTCATTTGGACCAAAAACTAAACTGGATACAACATATAAACCAAAAAATAAAAGAGCTGCGTAGCAAAGTCAGGTCACTGTATTGGCTGATAGGACTTCACTACAAGCTATCACTGAACAACAAAGTTCTTATTTACAAATCTTCCATAAAACGTATATAGACCTATGGAGATTTAAGACTTATCACAAGCGCGAATCCTGCATAATGACCTCCATATGGAAACAGTACAAGAAGTGATCAGCGTCTCTCAACCCAGAAGACTCAAGAAGAAACAACCAGCAGATCTTCTCTAAATGACTAGTAATTTTCATTGGAGGGTTATCTAGGATGCCAACTTTTTATACTCAAGTACAACACTGCTTGAGTTAATATTGAACCAAACAGCTATAGAATAACAATATGTCCTGACTGCCGTTAAATAATGTTAAAAAATAAAGTTTTTTTTTCAAAAAAAATAATAAAAAAATCAAGAATTTATAGCTTCTCAAAAATCGAATTTTCTCAAAGTTAAATTTTTCCAAAAATATTATTTTTTTTTTTAAAAATAATTTTTGCCTTAAGATCGCTCGATGCGATGTGCCCCACTACTTGTTTTTAAATATTACACATATTTTTAATGCTATTATAAATATATAATTTATAATTTATCATTACATAAATGTGTACGATGGTTGACACTAATCGTTTTTTTTTTATTCTATTCAGTAATCTAAAAAAACATATTACATAAATATCAATAGGTGATATTAAATATAAACATAAAAAAGAGAAAATTATATACATACCGAGCCAGGAAAAACACAAAAAAAATTATATAAAATTTATTAAAAACTAAACTTATGTAAAAGAATATCATAACTAATAATAATTAATGAAAGGGAAATTAATGGAGCACATATTACCCTTCTATAATGCATGATGTTTGCCCGCTGTGCATGGATTACAACTGAATTCAAGGTATTAAACGATGTTTTTTACAAAAATAATAATACAGCATTATTATACAATGTTTTGACTTGAAGTAACAAAAATTCCCTGTTTCGAAAAACGGTCCTGGCGGTGACGGTTATAACTCCTTGGAGATTCATCTGAAATCAATCAAATAAAAAAATAGTTTTATAAATAGATAATCCTGAGCCTGATCGAAGGTTTTCTTTTTTTGCAAAATTAGTAATTAGTCTTAAAAAATTGAAATTTTTGAAAATATAAAAATTCTTCGATCAGGCCCGAGTTTATTATGTATTCTAAAAGCTCTATAAATTTCATTAAAATTTACTAAGCGGTTTTTGAGTTACAGTTGTCACCGGTTCAAAAAACATAGTTTTGAGAAAAACGCGTTTAAAGTTTCACATTGCATTTACGTACAGAAATTCGAATTATTGAATTACTTAAACCGAGTCAATAGTTCATCAGCCATTGTGCAAGTTTCCAAAATTTCCGTTTGCTGTTGCCTACGAAGCATTCTGACCTCCAGAGTGTTCTCGTTGGCGCGCTGATCTGCCACTTTCACACGTGCGGCATCCAATTTTTCAGCATACCAATGGAAATTATACCCACGATTTGGTCCTAGGGTATCCATAGTCAATAATAATGATTATGTATATGTATTCAGCAGTTTGTACGGTAGTAGAACTAGTGTTCACGGTTTTTAGGCATATTTTCTACACTAGTTGGTTGAAGCTTTCAATTTTTTCTGTTTATGGATTCAATCTCGAACTACACATCTTAAAAGTAAATTATCATTGCTGAGATCGTCGTAAATCGGTTTAAAAGCTTTTAAAACATCAGGAGGTAAGGGAGAATAATTTTGAATATAAGTGCTCTCCACTTGCGTCAGCGCGCTGAAAAGAGTCCTATAACTCAAAAAGTAATCATCGGATCAACTTTAAATTTCCAGACAATATTTTCAAGATATTGCACTTAATGAAAATGCAAAAAAAATAAAAATCGATTTTTCAAACATTCTAAGTATCCCTAACCCCTTAAACTCTTTCCAAACTATTAGTTTATTTCAGATATGTCGATGACACGTTAATACTACTTAATAATAAAGATATAGATAATGTTTTCAATGAGTACATTCCGTATTCCGACCCAGGAACTGGAAAATGATTCTTCGTTACATTTTCTTGACGTAAAACGTATTAATAGAGGCGGTGTATGTTTTACAGATTGGTACAGAAAAATAGTTGGTCCGGGAGGTACATTAACTTTAACACTAGATATACCACGCCAGTCAAAATGACTGGTTGGGCACTTTCAATTTAAAATTCCCATTATATGTAAAATTTGTTTTGTGAAATGAAGTTATGACTATTTAAGTTATTAGTAAAGAAATCATTTTGTGCATTCAAAGTTACTTAGTAACAAAAATAAATTACTACTTACTGTACCGGCACCAGTCAAAATGACTGGTGCAAGTTTCTATAGAAAATGATTGATAAAAGAACCGAAATAACAAAAGCCATAGATCGTATGCGTTTATCGCCTACTCTCTCATCGACGACAATATATATTATTTATTCTTTATTCTTTTTTACATTGTAAAAATGCAGATTGCTGAAGTATTACTAGATTTTTACCACCAAAACAATTGTTTCGATCTTTGTTCAACACACTGAATAAAATTTTATTCAAAGTGATTTTCAAGTATAATTATTTATTCTTTTTGTACACTGATACAAGTAAGTAACATTCGCGTGGACACAGAAATTTTCAAAAATATATTTTTGAGTAAAAAAAAACTATAAACGAGAAAACTGCCATGGTCTCGACTTATTTTTATAGCGACTGTCAGTCTTTGAAAAAATAATGGAAACAATGTTTTTTAGCTTGTTTGTAAAATACAATCAGCGGATCTCTGAAATGTTTGGACCTAAAATTTGAAATATATGATAGTGACGGTGAATTTTTAGATAAACAAATCAATCCACAAGACAGTACTATTATCGACTCTAGAAATGGGAAATTTCGTGATAAAAACAATACAGATAGATCAAGTACGTTAGTAAATGGTTAGATATCACAAACAAACGTATGAGACGATGCGAGCCACTTTCTTCCAATTCTGAAGACGAATTAGGAAGTAATGCACCAAATCAGGAAACTAAAATTAGTTTGGACGAAACTATTTGGACAAGAGTTGTAGTAAAGTGAAATAGGTTTTGCAGGTAGATTAGAAGTTCAAAGAGCTTTCAGACACATACTCAGGCCAAATTTATAGAAAAAAGCCCGCGTTTGGAACAAAATATAGACAATAGCAAAAATTGCTTCAAACCGGAAGCTCATATCACTCTGGTTGAATAACATTTTGCAACAAAGGCCAGAAGCATATTTAGCCAGTAAATGCCAAAAAAACTATAAATTTACAAAAAATTCTGTCTGACATCTGATGTGGAAACAAAATATATGGTAAAT